GAGTGAAAAGTAACCCCACTGCATTTAACAACCAGTTGAAGACCTACCGCCTATCTGTGAGTTTATCATACTGTGGTGGCTCAGTTTGTCATAGATGTTGCTATGACGCTAAAACTGTGTAATCTATATTTCAGCTACAAGCAGGGTCACCCATAGTGGACAGATTTCAGTGGAATTTCTAAACTAAAATAGACTAAGAAGAAAGGTTTGATGATCTACTTCTAAATATTAACCAATGAAAACTCAATGGATCCTAACAGAATATCATGTGGTATTAGTGCTGGACGATGAGGCCCTTAGGTTGAAAAGCACTTAAAAAACACAATGGCAGCAGTGATGGGCTTAAACACACCAACAGTTGTGAAGATGGCACAGGACTGGGTGTGTTTTGCTCTGTTGTATACAGGACTTGGTGTGGTCAGGTGTGTTGTATACAGGATCAGGCAGTGTTTTATTCTGCTGTGCATAAGGCTGTTTTCAGTCAGTACCAACTCGATGGCACCTAACAACAACAAATATGGGATCACTATGAGTTGAAGTCAAGTTGGCAGCAACTAACAGCAATACCAAGAAGCTGAAAACAGGGTTAAAGGGGAACTGCACCCGGTCAGCTCTTTGCATTCTAAGAGAATAAACTGAATCTTGGATACCTGGAATGGATCTAAATCTTGGATACCTGGAAGTGTCCCTATTTAGCTTGGGGGTCCTCTTGTGTAGGATAAGATAGACAATGGGAAGCTTACCTAGGGGCTGAAACACCAAACTCTAAGTAAATGTAGCACTTAAGGAGAGAAAGAAGGGGGGGAAAGTAGTAGTCAGGTTGTTTAAGCACAGATTTAAGTTAACTTTTTAAAGCTAGTAAGAATTCTTACATTGATCTTTAGTTGGAATGTGTATAAAAATGATATGATGGTATAAAATATTATATGTACAAGTGTGTGGCGGATTTGCTTTGCCTTTTCCATTGTGCATGCCAGCTTCTAAACAATGACTGACAAACCATTCCTGCCTCAAAATACTACTGTTCCCCTTCCTCTTGGTCCCTTTGCATTTCCATCACAGATTTCCAGGATGCAAAAGGATTCCTTTACGGTGATGTCCCTAGTGTTCACAGAAAACAGACTGAGCGTGCTTTATGTGGGTGTATACTGTGGGTGTGGGTAGATAACTGGCTGGGCGAGTGTTTTGGTGGCCATAGGTTGCAAAAGAGTTTTAAATAACTTATTTAAAATGGGTGAAATTAAGGGATCTAAAATCAGATTCATAAGGCATAATTAAAAGAATTAGCGTGTGGAGGAACATATAAAAAGTTGATGAAATAACTCTTACAAGGCATAATATGTGGAAGACAGTGAGAAAGCAGCTTACGCTGTGGTAAATGCAAGATTAACCTCAGTAGCGCAGGCTAATGTGCTGGACTGCAAAGTCAATTTGAACTACAAAGTCGGCAGTTCAAGCTTACCAGCTGCTCCTTGGAAACCCTATACAGAGTCACTATGGCTTGGAACTGACTCAATGGCACTTAACAACAACAAAAAACAACATTTCTGATAAGAAGGATTGCAACACCTGAAAACAGCTAGCAGGCTGATGATGTCTACACTGCAAAACCAAAGTCAACCAAACCCACTGCCCTCTAGTTGATTCTGACTCATTGCAACACTACAGAACAAGATAGAATAGCTCCAGAGGGTTTCCAAGGCTGTAAAGATCTACAGAAGCAGACTGCCTCATCTTTATTCCACAGTGATTGTGAACCAATGGCCTTTCAGTTAACAGCCCAAACTGCGTCATGCACTGCACTACCAGGGCTCCTCATACACCTTAAAGACTGCTATTATTATATATTACAAGAAGCATTACTAATAAGAATTGGTGGTATTCTCTGGACTCTTTATTACTAGGTGCCCATCTCTTTAGATGAGTTTGAATATATTTCTACCTGTATATGCAACTCTCTGACTTTAGATTTTAAAAAGTTAATGGTTCTTAGCCTGCTACTGAGAAAGAAAATAATTGAGTTTGCAATAACAGTCCCCCAGGTCACATGCATTTTTGTCAGTGTGGTAGACTGTCTTCTCAGCATTTGTGGCTGTGGTCAAGGTGCTATGCTTGCTGATAACCAAATCTCAGGAGCTTGACAAAGCACAGTCATCGACTCAGGCAGGCCTGCATTTAGTTATGCTGGTCTACTCTCTAATACTAAGTGCGGTTCCTTTCCGTCTCTACCCAACCATATTAGGTTCCTGAGACTTGGCAATTTTACCCAGATGAGCTAAAGAACAAGTGAGGTGGTGGCATGCCTGTTTCCTCAATGGGTGCTAATTTCCTTGGAAGAATGAACAGACTTGGAAGCGAATCTTTACCATTTTCAAAGAAATCTTGTGAGCTTCCAAGGAAATGAACCTTATGCTTTCTTCCAGGAATGGCCCCTGCTGGGACTCTAATTTTTTCTGGAAGTGAGCTTAGTTTTCCATGAAAGACAAGGTCTTTGAAAGCAGTTGAGCAGGGTACCCCACTACCCAAGGAATCAGAGAACACTACAGAAGAGAAACTGGTCCTTGTAAATCTGCCTTCAGGTCTTTAAATCACTTCTGTCGAAGAATTGTACGTTTTGAATGTCTGGTCAGGCCTGCAGGACAGCTATGAGTAATGAGACTACCTTAAAAATTCCTAGTACCAAACTCCTCTCTGTGGCCCCTCAAGGAGACCCAAACTTTGGACAGGATTAAAGAGGCTTTAAAACAGAACTGTAGGATGAAAAGAAAGAGCCCTGGTGCCACAATAGTTAAGCACTTGAATACTTAGCTGGAAGATTGGTAGTTTGAACCCACTCAGTCATTCTATAATAGGAGAGCTGGCAACCTGTTTCCATAAAGACTATAATCAAGGAAACCTTATGGGACAGTTACCCTTTGTCACGTGGGGTCACTGTGATTCGGACGGAATCAACAGGACAGCACACAACAAGGACAAAAAGAACTCCTGTAAACCAAAAAACCACCATGTTTGTGAAGATGGCTCTAAACAAAACAAAACAAAAAACCCTCTGCTGTTGAATTGCTTCCAACTTACAGCAATCCTGTGGGACACAGTAGAATTGCTCCCTCGGGTTTCCTAGGCTGTAAACCTTTAGGAGAGAAGACAGCTTCATCTTTTTCAATCTAAGTGACGAGTGCGTTTTTATCACGGACATTGCTGTTAGCAGCCCAACACTTAACCCACAGAGCCACCAGGACTCCTTGAAGAGGGTTATTTTGTTGCCATTGTTATGTGCCATCGAGTTCAGCTCTAACTCATAGAGACCCTCTGCACACCAGAAGGAAACACTGTCTGGTCCTGCACCATCCTCACAAGTGGTACATTTTAGTCCATTGCTGTTGCCAATATGTCAATCCATCTTGTTGGGGGTCTTTTTGAAGCTGTTTCTCCTTATTTTGAGTTGTGCCTTATCAGAAAATGAAAGTCCCCAAAGCTTTGTTCCATTCATGTCATTATGGTCAATTCTACTTTGAGATGGCAACTCTTCCTCCAGACATATTTTGAGTGCCTTCCAACCTGTGGGGCTCATTTTCCAGTACTATATCAGTGTTGCGCTGCTATTCATAAACTCTTCAGTGGGTAACCATTCAGAAGCAATCCGCCACCACTGCTTCTTCCTAATTTGTTTTAGTCTGGAAGCTCTGCTGAATCCTGTCCACCATGGATGACTCTGCGGGTATTGAAAATATTGGTGGCATAGCTCCCAGCATCACAGCAACACACAAGCTACCATAGTGTGACAAACTGACAGACAAGTGGTGGATCACAATGGTTGTTGTTGTTGTTGTTGTTGTTGTTAGGTGCCATCGAGTCGGTACCGACCCATAGCGACCTTATGCACAGCAGAATGAAACACTGCCTGATCCTGGGCCAACCTCACTACTGTTCCACACTTGAGTCTATCGATGCTGCCACTTGGCCAATCCATCTCGTTGGGGGTTTTCCTCTTTTTCTCTGAATAGTTATAATTTCTGAGAGAATTTTAATATACACTTTAACAATTCAATATTTATCTACTTAAACTGCAGAAATTTTGGATTATGGCCTAGGCATAAAAATACCCATAATCTCACTTCACATCCCAGTCAATCTCATTTTATTTCTTTATAGTCCTTTTTTAAATACCTCTCTGGGTTCCATGGGTGGTGGAACTGGTTACCATCTGTGACTGTTAATAGAAAGGTTGGAAATTCCAGTCCACCTAGAGGTACCTCAAAAGGAAGGTCTAGGCATCTCCTTTGAAAAATCAATCATTTACAACCCCAAGGGGCACAGTTCCACACTGATGCACATGAGGTCACCGTTATTAGTCAGAGCTGACTCAACAACTTTTTTTATAGCATAAATTCAGATTTGTATTCAACATCAAAACTTTTTTTCATGTTTTTAGGATGTCTTTATTACTGTGATTTTTAAATTAATGGTATTTTGATTTCTTTGGAGATTTCTAATTGAGAGAATTTTGAGCTCCTAAGGAGCTCTGGTAGCGTAGTGGTTACGAATCGGGCTGCGAACCTCAAGGTCAGCAGTTCAAAACTACCAGCTGTTCTGCGGGAGAAAGATGAGGCTTTCTGCTCCTGTAAAGATTTACAGCCTTGGAAACCCTGTGCAGGTTCACTATGAGTCAGAACTGACTCCACGGCACATAACAACAACAACAATAATAGTTTATTGTTGGAGTCCTGTTGTAGCACTGTAGAATAAGCACTGGACTTCAAACTGTAAGGTTGGCGGTTCAAACCCACTAGCCCCTCCTTGAAAACCCTGTACAGGGTCACTATGGGTCAGAAATGACTCAACGGCCCTTAACAACAACAATCATTGTTTGATGTAGAAATTTAATCTTAATTTTATTCTTTTAAAAAAATGACATTTTGTACTAGATCTTTGCTATTTAAAAACACTCAGCAGCCAAGGTTGATTTTTAAAACGATATTTCCGTGTTTTTCTGTTAACAGGGATCTACCGAACAGAAAGAGATAAAGGCACTTTGTATGAACTTACATTCAAAGGGGACCAAAATCATGAATTCAAACGACTTGTCTTGTTTCGACCATTTGGCCCTATCATGAAAGTAAAAAAAGAAAAACTCAACATGGCCAACACGCTTATCAACATTATCGTGCCATTGGCAAAAAGAATGGACAAGTTCCGGCAGTTCATGCAGAATTTCAGGTTTGTTCGTTTGTACATGTTTATCTTCCTCAGTGAGGTGGTGTGTTAGATAGAGCACGATATCATTTTCCCTCAGTTCACTACCAAATACAAAGGCTCCTTTCTCTTCTAGTTCAAATCTGTTTTCTTCATATATTGCTTATCATTTGTATTTGCCTTTCCTCAAAAAGCATATTTACCTTCAGAAGTTAAAATTAGGAAGGATTCATTTTCTAATCAAGATCTACAAAGAAAACTGAATTCCTGTGCAATTCTTAAGACTCCCTGGGTGCCTCAATTGGTTAAACATTCAGCTACAATCCAGCCAGACACACCTCAGAAGAACGTCCTGGTGATCAACTTCTAGAAGTTACAGACTTGAAAACCCTATGGAACAGTTCTATTGTGCATAGATAAGGTCTCTGTGAGTTGAAACTGGTTTTTTTAATGTGTTTTTTTGTTTGTTTGTTTTCTTTATTGGTTCAGTTTTTACTTGAGTTTAGACTTAGGTTTGGAGAAAGCTGGAGCTGTGCTTTGTTATCAATGGGGAATGGTCTCTCTCCAAGACCGTCAAAGGCCAGTGGGGTTCTAGGTCTCTTGGAGCAGCGAGGAGATGGCTGGTGAAAGCCACATAGACAAAGACTTGTCTTTGAGGATGCTCTTGCTCAGCTGAAGCTGGTGCTTCACCTACTGGCTGGATTTACCCTCCAACTGAAAGGTTGGAATTGATTCTGTATTCTAATCTACATCTTCTCAAGTTAAACCTAGAAATTTATCAGGGTTCATTTTTTCATCAACTTGAGAAGAAAAGTCTAAGTGTCTACAGGTACAATAATGCAGGGTTTTTTGTGTGTTTTCAAGGTCTTTATTGTACAGTGTTTATGGTTAATATTCACATATTGGCTAAAGTTAGCCAACTAGTATTTCTTAACCAGCTTATTTTCAAAGCTAGAAAGTCACAGCTATCTACTTAAAAATTCAAACTGATTTGTAAACTCTTATTATAGAATTCATATTATTGAAAACTAGTATTGATCAGTATAAAGGTGTGGTTGATACCTCTCAAAATTCTGGCTAATGAACAACGTTTTTAATATATTTGAAGAGCAATTCTTTTCTGTTAAATGTTACGCTTTGAATCAAAAAGTCATGTAAGAGATTTTGAGGTCATCTGGTCTAATCCTCCTTCATTCAGAATCCTTCTGTAGCACCTGTGATCTGTAGCACTTGAGACCATGTGCATGGACCGGGTAACGACCTACTTCACAAGATACACAGGTCCTTTGTTAAAGAGCACTAGCTAGAAAACTTCTTTATTGTTTAGAACTGAAGTCTACCTACCTGCAATTTTTACCCAGTGGGTAGAGTTCTAGCCTTTCAGAAAAATGCTGAACAAATGTTTCCTCAGTCTTTCATGTATTTAAAGAAAACAATCACAGTTTTCCTTTTCTTTTCTTCTCCAAGCTCCACAGCTCTCATTTTCCCAAGCTTTTCTCATTTTCTCTAGTTCTTAAACTTTGTTTCACGAGAGTTATGTCAGTTAGCCATGTTATAATCCAGAATACAAACAAACCTAGAAGGAAAGTGTTACTGAGGAAAGTGAAATTAGTATTTTACAAGTCTCCAAATTGAAAGGATGAAATGTGATTATTGTTGTTGTTGTTAAGTGCCATCGAGTTGCTATCAACTCATAGCGACTCTATACACAACAGAGCAAAACACTGCCCAGTCCTACACCAACCTCACAATTGTTGTTATATTTGAGCCCATCGTTGCTTCCACTGTACCAGTCTATGTATCTCATTGGAGTCTTCCTCTTTTTCTCCAACCCATCATTTTACTGAACATGATATCCTTCTCCAGGGACTGGTTCCTCCTGACAATATGTCTGAAGTATTAGAGATTAAGTCTGGCAATCCTGGCTTCTAAGGAGCACTCTGGCTGCCCTTCTTCCAACACAGATCTGCTGGTTGTCTTGGCAGCCCATGGTACTTGTAATATTCTCCTCCAACACCATAGCTCAAATACACCAATTCTTACATGGTCTTCCTTATTCATTGTCCAACTTTCACATGCGTATGAGGTGATTGAAAATACCATGGCTTGGGTCACGTGCACCCTTAGTCCTCAAACTGACATCTTTACTCTTCAACACTTGAAAGAGATCTTGTGCAGCAGATGTGCCTAGTGCAATACATTGTTTCATTTCTTGACTGTTGCTCCCATGACTGCTGATGGTTGATCTGAGCAAAATAAAGTATTTTTTTTGTGTTATCTACAAAATATTATCTTTACTTCAATGTTTTCTTCATTTATATGGATGTTATTTTTGGTTCAGTGATGAGGATTTTTGCTTTCTTTATGCTGAGGTGCAATTCATGTCATAGGCTGTGTTCTTTGATCTCCATCAGTGAGTATTTTAAGTCCTCTTTGCTTTCAGCAAGCAAAGTTGTATCATCTGCATATCAGAGATTGTTAACAAATCTTCCTGCTATCCTGATGCCACATTTTTCTCCATATAATCCACCTTCTTGGATTATTTGCTCAGCATACAGTTTGTTGTACTGTAGTGGCTTGCATGTTGCTGTAATGCTGGAAGCTATGCCATGGGTATGTTAAATACCAGCCGGGGCACCATGGACAAGTTTCAGCTGAGTTTCCAGACAAAGACAGACTAGGAAGAAAGAGAGACAGACTTCTGAATATTTAGTCACTGAAAATCTCATGAATATCAGGGGGACACTGTCAGCACCAGAATATTGAATATTAAAACATGATAAAGAGCACCAGAATATTGTCAGATATAGTGCCAGAAGATGAGCCCCTCAGATTGGAAAGCACGCAAACATGACAGAGGAAGAGCTGCCTCCTCAAAGTAAAGTTGACTGTGATAACTTGAATGGAGTAAAGCCTTCAGGACCTTCATTTGCCAATGGAGCACAACTCAAAATGAAGATCAACATTGATATCCTAGGCATTAGTGAGCTGAAATGGACTGGTATTGACCATTGTGAATCCGACAATCTCATGGTTTACTGTGCCAGAAATGACAAATTGAGGAGGGATGGCATCACATTCATCATCAAAGAGACCATATCAAGATGTGTCTTGAAGTACAACCCTATCTGTGATAGGATACTATCCATATGCGTACAAAGAAGACCAGTTAATACAACTATTATTCAAATTTACACACCAACTACTAAAGCCAGTGAAGACGAAATTGAAAAATTCTACCAAATTCTTCAGTCTAAAATTGATCAAATATGCAATCAAGATGTATTGATAATTACTGGCAATTGGAACGCAAAGGTTGGAAACAAAGAGAAAGGATCAGTAGTTGGAGACTATGGCCTTGGTGACAGAAATGATGTAGGAGATCACGTGATAGAATCTTTCAAGATTAATGACTTCTTCATCACAAATACCTTTTTCAACAACATAAAAGATGACTATAAACATGGACCTCTCCAGGGGGTATACACAGAAATCAAATTGACTACATCTGTGGAAATACAGTGGAAACGCTCCATATCATCAACCAAAACAAGGCCAGAGGAAGACTGTGGAAAAGATCATCAATTCAGGTCTGACAATTCAGACTGAAGCTGGAGAAAATTAAAACAAGTCCACGAGAGCCAAAATATGACCTTAAATATATCCCACCTGAATTTAGAGATCACCTGAAGAACAGATTTGGTACATTAAATGCTGAAGATTGAAGATCAGAAGAGTTGTGGGATGACATCAAGAACATTATACAGGAAGAAAGCAAAATGTATTTAAGAAAACAAGAAAGAAGGAAAAGACCAAAATAGATGTCAGAAGATCTGAAAAGAGCAAATGAAAGAAATGAGGTGGTAAAAGAG